TGGTCCACCGTATCAAAAGCCGCTGAGAGGTCCAAAAGAACTAGGACAGAGGAACAACCCCTGTCCCGGGCCCTCCAGAGATCATTCACCAATGTGACCAATGCCGTTTCCGTGCTGTATCCCGGCCTGAAGCCCGACTGGAGCGGGTCTAGATAGACCGTTTCCTCCAGGTGTCGGGGGAGCTGCCGCGCAACCACACCATACATACATACATATATGTATGCACACATAAACATATATCAACATTAAGACAGGAACATCTCAGGAGAAAGAAGTAAGAAGATGTGTTTCTCTTTCTCCCAATAAGGGCTACTGTAAACACCCCTAAAGTGCCCTTAATTTTTCCTTATCATCTGTTCTTAAATATCTCCATGATTATTGTCCCATCATAGAATTTCTTAGCATGATGAAGGGATACTACATTTCCAGCATTTTATCTCAACAATACTGAGGTACATCCATCATCAACCTCATAGTCCTGTCCTGATTCATCTCCAGTATAATCTGGGAGCATTTTAAAAATCAAAATGGAGCAGATGATTGTCCATCCATAGTTGACACATCATGATTGCATTCAGTTAAAGTAATCCAAATACCACAATCCCTTGGAGTACATATGGAAAACATAGATTAGGAAATTGAAGAGCAACTTTTTTTTAATAAAATCAAGCCTTATCTTTAATTGTAAAGAAGCCAAGGCTTATTCTCCTTCTGATACATTTACCCACTGGAGACAATGAATGAAGGGCAGAAGTACAAAGTAATGACAGCCATTGACTACCTTTTGGTAGCAGTTGAGGGTGGACTCATAAATATATACTGTAGTGCCAAAGTAGTCAAGAAACTTCAAACTGCAACAATTGTCATTGATAACAAGGTTGAAGGAGCACGAAACTGAAGAGGCACTCTAGAAGCAGGACATGTTGCTGATAAAGATTTCCTACAACGTGGAACCAACAAAACCTATTTTTCTCTATCACATGTGCTAGCTTCTTCCAGAAATAACCAATCTGAAACCCATCATTGAAATTTTGGTGTCACATTACTTAAAACAGTTGTTTTATTGGACAATCCTTATTGCAGGCTATTCTGGACCACTTAAAGAAGTTCCACCAGAGAAATTTAACCGAACTGCAATCCCCAAAGGTTATCGATCTCCCTGGAGGGAATTCTTCTGCAATGCTGATTACCAAATAGATGTAAAAAGCCATTTGCCTGAGCCAAGAAAAGTGAATAATTTGGACCTTAGGAATTTCAATAGGTAAGAAGGCTTGTTCTGTTTCTTTTGCATTTTTTTTTTCATAAACTCTGTCGGTGATAATAAGGTTGTTTACCCCTTTCCTATAAGACTTGATGTGCATATTTTCAAATATTAGTTCTTTAAAGAATGGTAGAAAATATATATCCTTCCAGAAGCTGCTCACTTGCATGCTTCGTTATGGACTACACTGGTTAAGGCTGCTATGGGTATAGCTCATCAACATCTTAACTTCGTAGTTGCTGGATTTTACAAGAGCAGATTTTTTGCTTTTCTGAGAGTCTGCTCAGAACAGAAGCCAGAGCATTTAACACTCTGACTCATCGAGAGGACTTTATGGCCAGTGAGCCTTGCAGGAAGAGGAGTTTCTAGGAACATTAATGACCTGGACTGACAGAGAGTCTGATACCATAGAAGATCACACTGAACACCAGATTCCCCCGAGTAGCAAGAATGACATCAGGAAGCAAAAGATGCCTGAAATAGTATTTACGCAACCCAGAATTGAAAATACTCCCTTGTTCATCCGTATAATATACACTGTGTTATTTCACTACAGAATTAAATAGCTGTTTTGCTGGATTAGGTCAAAATAAGATTTTGACAATAGACTCATTATTCTGGGATGACTATTGGTCAAGAACAATGCATCATTTGTTTTGTGATCATGTACAAGCATACATGCATAAACTCACACCCACACACCAGTATACGTTGCAGAAAACACATTGGCTGTAATACAGTATACACAAATGGTTCAAAAGAAATGTGTTTGCATTTCACACCAAGCAGTTCATTTGCTTATCTGCGAAACTGATAAGAAGCTCACAAAACAAATCTGGCATTTGAAATTAGGAAACTCAAATGGAACATGCCTGTGATCAGTTTTGTAGCCCTAATACAAACACA